TAACCAACTTCAATTTGTTACATTTTATGGCTCTTCCAGAGGTAGTTCGGCGAAAAGTTAAACACAAAACCAGTCCATGAAGTTTGAAAAACTCTCCAGAGGTAGACAGTGCCGTAGGAGCCTTATATATTAATTTATAATCGTTGTTCGTATCACAGAAATTATTCCCATAGATCCCATCTGCAAAGCTTGTCGATTTGCAAAAGAAATTGCTGACATTGGAAAATGTCACTGACAAATCTGTTGATGCCACCATACGGGAGTTTCAGCCAGCGAACATTCCTGGCTTCACCTTAGAGGAACATCTTCCAGTAATCAACAGAACGTTTGAGGCCACGTAAGTATCTACATTTCAATTTCTTATCCTCTGCTGCTCTTGCGACCGGAAGTTGGTTTACTTTTCATTATACTGGTATATAAACACAATAATTCCAGATCAGTTGAGGGAATAGTTGATAATCTCAAAAAAGAAAATACCGATTGGGCTGAAAAGCAGTTGAAAACGTTGTCAAAGATGAGTCCGACCTCAATGAAGGTCACATTTAAGCAGCTCAAAAATGGAGCCAAAATGAGCTTTAGCAAGGTTGGTACTGCCTCATAAGTATGTGCTCTTGAGATATCGTGCATGCACATAGTTGATAGCTCTCAGCTTAATCTCCTAGAAGCTGCTAAACGTTGCAAATGATGGTTATTTTTAAGGTTTTCACAATGGAGTATCGCCTTACCCAGCGATCTGTCGAGGACCATGACTTTCATGAAGGTTGCAGAGCAAGTAAGCATTTACTACTGTCTGTGTTGATATGATGTAGGCTGACGGGTTTGACACCGCTCTTTGTTTATATACTGGTTTTTACAGTTTGTTTAGGTATTTTATAAGAAATATTGTTTATAAATTACAGCTTATATATTTATTTACGAGGAAAAATCACATCGTTTGTTATTTTGAACTGTGTTTTAGCAACTTTTACCACCTTACAGTTCTGATCGACAAAGACCGAAATCCGAAGTGGAAGCCTGCGACTTTAGAAGAAGTGTCGGACTCTCATATAGATCACTACTTCGCCCCTCTAGACGGCAACGAAGATCTATTTCTCAGCGATTCGAATGCTAAGATATAGATGGAGATAGTATGTAATCCACTAACGAGTAAAAACAGTTGCTCAAATTTTTAGGACCGTACTTATCATACATACCACGGACTAAGT